CCCTTCGGCCTCGCATCGGGCAGGTGCCGGCTGGGTGTGGCGACCGTGGGCCTTCGCCTTGGCGATCTGTGCGTCTACGGAAGTACCCGTTTAAAATGGGAACAAAATAGAAGGAAAAATGTACCACTTTTGTGAACCGTAAATTCCCGAAATACATTAGATAAGCCAGTATTTTAGTACACTGTTCTTCCAGTGTTTTCAATGAATATGCTTTTATCAAAAACACATAGTTGAACTCATAGTGCCCAGTGGCCCTATCTCTTGTGGGCTTTTGGAGCATCTGTCAGGCTAATCTGAGAAATTAACGTGTATGTTTTCCATTTTGTTTTCTGTTCACCTATTTTCTAAAAGCATTGATCATTTTCACCGCTAAACATGCCTTACTCCACCATACCCACCCACACTGCCAGAAATGCCCTTTTTTTTCTTGACGTTTCTTAGTGGTCCCAAAGTCTTAATGAACAAAGACCCTCGGCGCGTGCATTGAAGTGAGATATTAGCAGAAAACCTTACTTCCCTGGATTTCCGCCTCAAACAAAATTGTTTCCCTCCTGTAAGAAAATGGGATTGGAATACATGATCCCTGCCAAGTGCTGATAATATTTGATCCATACATCTGGACCAGTTCCAGGAGGGCATGTTAAAGGCGCTAGAGTGAAAAGCTGGACAGCAGAGTAACAGGCTACGACGTGGATGGAGACGACGGAGAAGTTAAACCTAGCACTGTTTTCTTACAGAGATTCGCCTCTTACTGTTTTTTTGTCAGGCGGCGCCGCGGACACCTTTGCTCCGCGGTGATTGGCCTGCAGCGGGGTCCTCGCGTTTGTCCAATATGGCGGCGCCCAGTGGCGGTGTGAACTGTGAAGAGTTCGCTGAGTTCCAGGTGATGGGGTTTTCCTCCTGTGGCAGGCGTGTCCTTCCTTTTGTCCCCAGAATCTATTCCCTGCTCTGGGAGGCAGTATGGACCAGCTATGGAAAAAGGAGGCAATTCAGAGCTCTTTTTTTGAGCCTTTAGAGGTCATGGGGGGCGCGGGTTCGGCCTTAGGGAGCGAGGCTGCTCTGTAGGGGGATGGATGAGAGGGTCATAGTTCTCCCTGTGCCGCGCAGGCCTTGACCGGAGAACTCTTGAGTAGTTACGGACTCTGCCGAAAGCTCTGAAGCTCGGGCTCTGGGTAGGGATTGTGACAGTGTTGTGGCAGTGCCCTGAACTCATTCCCTAGGCTCTGCCATTCCTCTCCTACTTTTCTTTTAGTTAAGTTTTTGTGGGAGAGAGGAAAGTGGAGTAGAGCTTATTTACTTGGTGAAACAATTTATTATTTTGGGGGGTGGAACGTTTGGAAGTCTGGAGGGACGATTAATTCTAGTACCTGCCGTGGTGCTGTTGCCTTCCTAGCCATTAGAGAAGGTGTGATATTTAACATATTTAACATAAAGGTTGTGTCTTTTTATATTCAGATTCCAGAGGTCTAGGGCTAATTTTTAACCTTGGATTTTAGAGAGCTGGATTTTGACTAAGTTGCCTTGAAAGCTACCTGTTTGAATGCAGGCATACGTTTGCTTCTGTCTAGTTACAGTGTTGAATTCAGAAATCATGATCTTACAAAGGTATTGCATTTTTAACTAACTAAAGATACTTAAAAATTCTTTCACGTGTCATTGTCCTATCTTTAGTAAGCACTGTGCTTTAAATGGTTTGTAGGTAGTGATATTCTTTAAGATAACCTCAGCAGACTGGCCAAGGAAGTTTTTATGTGAGGTCTTTCCACCATTGTTTTTACCCTCTTCACCACTTCACCTGCTCCTCATACTAGATCAGCTCAATAGCAGCCAACTTTAAATGTGATTAGAGTGCTCAATAAATACAAATACTTGTTTTAAAAAATGTAGTAGAGTAGAAAAAGACTGCTGGATTCCAAAGTATATGGAATATTAAAGGTTAACCCTCCCATTTGTGGTGTTGGCCTTGTGCATTAGTACTGTGACATAATTTGAGCTAACGAACTTATATAATTGCACAAGCATAGTCTTAAGGTTAGTGGGAAAGAGTACTGGTTAGGGAATTTGACGTTCTGGGTTCCAGAACTGCTGCTGCCATTGACAGCTTTGTGATCTTTGTAACCAATCACTTAATCCCTTTGGAAATTAACCTGAGTCTAAAATAAGAAGAGGTTGTGTTAAGTAACCTTGAAAACTGCATCTAGCTCTACAGTTATTTGAATCTGTAAAACCAAATGTCAAAGAGTCTCTTTTTCCCATTAAAACATCTAACAGGGCTTAAAGAACACTCTGAATTTTCTTTTGGATGGTCAGCTAAGACATAAGTGGGTGAAAGCTAAAGTGTCATGCCTAACCATTCCATTCACAGAGATAACGTATATAATTTTTAAAAATCACACAATGGCTGGGCTCAGTGACTCAGCCAGTAATCCCAGACTGAGGCCAGAGGTTGCCTGAGCCCGCGGGTTTGAGACCAGCCTGGGCAATTTGGCGAGCCCTTGTCTCTACAATAAATAAAAAATTAGCCGGGCATGGGAGCATGTGCCTGTAGTTCCAGCTACTTGGAAGGCTGAGGATAAAGAATCACTGGACGCCAGCAGGTCGACGCTGGGGTGGCTGTGAGCATGCCACTGCACTCCAGCCTGGGCAACAGAGTGAGATTCCAACTCCAAAAAAAAAAAAAAAAGAAAAGAAAAAAATCACAAAACGAATCTTAGTAATGAAACCTGGGTCGATTCACTAGGTATTTTTCAAATAGCGGTTTATAATTGGGAATACCCAGGGTTAAAAGTCCGAAGATCTGACTTTTTAAATCTGGCCATGGCATATTTAATTTAACCTTGTAAATGGATATAAGAACATTTGCCCCTTCTGCCTCAGAGGCACACAAGAACATAAGTGAAGGCACTATAAAAATGTAAAATTTTAGTATAGTATTTAGGTTTAGAGAAGTTCGGCAAAGGTATAAAACATGGTTAATTGGAGTTCTCACAGATTATTAATCAAAGTTTATATTTTTAAAGCTATTAAACCATTACATTTTATATATAAGTATTCTTTTTGTTTTTCTTGAGTCGGAGTCTCACTCTGTCACCCATGCTGGAGTGCATGGCATGCTCACAGCCACCTCAGCCTCCACCTTCTGGGCTCAAGTAATCCTTCCGCCTCAGCCTACCAAGTAACTAGAACCACAGGCATGCACCACTATGCCCAGCTAATTTTTTTTTTAAATTGTAGAGACAAGATCTCACCAGGTTGCCCAGGCTGGTCTCAAACCCCTGGTCTCAGGCAGTCCTCTCACCTCTGTCTCCCAAAGTGTTGGGATTGCAGGTGTGAGCCACCACACCTGGTCACATTTTGTACATAAGTGTTCTAAATGTGGAAAGCACTGCACTGTGGAAGAGAAGCAGGACATCATGTATTTTTTACCTCAAAGATTAGGTACACTTTTTTCAGAACCTTTTAGTGAAAATGTTCAAACACTACAGAAAAGCTAAAAAACTTAGACAATAAACACCCATACCTACCATCTAGACTCTGTAGTCAACGGTTTGCTATATTTGCTGTATCACATATTTACTCAAACCATCCATCAATCCACTTCTTTATGATTTTGATGCATTTCAAAGTAAGTAAGTATCAGTATACTTTACCCTCTAAACATGCTGGCTTGCATGTTATTAGCTGGAGTTAAAATTTTTTTTAATATATTATTTTTGGAGTGTAAAATTTGCATAGAGTGGTGCACAAATCTTAAAGTGTACTATTCAATGAGTTTGACATTTACATAACACCTATAGTGCAAACCCTCATCTATATTAGACTTAGCATTTCTGGAAAATGTTCTGTTTCTAAACTGAGGTAAAATCTAGAAAAGAATGTTTAAAATTGAGCTGAGGAGGAGGAGTGCTTCAGCCCAAGAGTTAGAGACCAGCCTAGACAACGTAGTGAGAACTTGTCTCTATAAAAATTAGCTAAGGCATGGTGGCGCAGGCCTGTAGTTCCAGCTACTGGGGAGGCTGAGGTGGAAGGATCGCCTGAGACCAGGAGGTTGAGGCTGTGGTGAGCTGTGATCGTGCCACTGCACTCCAGCCTGGGCGACAGTGGGAATCCAACTCAATAAATTCATAAGTAAATAAAATTATGTGCCTAGAATCCCATTTGAGCATTCATTCAACAGGAGTTTATTGGATACTGTGTTAGCCTTCTAGGGCTGCCATAATGAAATAGCATAGACTGAGTGGCTTAAACAATATAAATTTATTTTATTCACAGTTCTAAAAACTAGAAGTTCAAGATCAGGGTGCCATCAGGGTTGGTTTCTGGTGAGGTTTTTCCTCCTGGCTTGTAGAAAACTGCCTTCTCATCGTCTCATTGCATGACCTTGTTTCCGTGCCTCTGCACAGAGGGAAAGGGATCTCTCATGTCTCTTCCTCTTCTTAAAAAGACGCCTTATTTCCCAGTCATGGTTTCTCACGCCTATAATCCCAACACTTTGGGAGGCAGAGGTGAGAAGACTGCCTGAGTCCAGGGATTCGAAACCATCCTGTGCAACTTGGCAAGACCTCATCTCTACAATAAGTTTTAAAAAAATTAGCTGGGCATGGTGGCGTGCATCTGTGGTTCCAGCTACATGGAAGTCTGAGGCAGAAAGATCACCTGAGCCCAGCAGGTCAAGGCTGCAGTGGCCATGAGCGTGCCACTGCACTCCAGCCTGGGCAACAGAATGAGACTCCTACTCAAAAAAAAAAAAAAAGAAAGAAAGACGCCATGTTCTCCATCCTTAAAGGTTCTCTCTCCATATACAGTTAAGTCTGGAATTAGGGGTTTAATATGGATTTTAGGGGGACACGATTCAGTCCATAAGATATCTACCAACTACCAAGCGCTTGAGGAGACCTAGTGGGTAGGGTATAAAACAAGGAACATAATCTAAATAGGGATATAACACACGTGGAAGATAGTGAAGAAAATGAATAAAATACTAAAAGTTTAGGGAGAAATAAATCAAGAGATGGTATTCGAGTTGCATTGACGAGGACTAGAGAAATTCTAAGCAGAGGCAATAGTATATAGGCAAAAAATAAAAGTTATATATTTGAGGGAAATTAAAAATCATTACTGCTGGAATATAATATTTGCACAGGGGCATATTGGGATTGCACAAAAGATTGGCACTGCATTGTGGAAGACCTTGAATGCCAAGGTTGGGAGTCATTTTTGCACAGAGGGTGTGAGTGACTATAGTGGTGTGTTAGGAAGATTCATTAATACTGCCACTGGCCTTATTCAGGCCCTGTCATTTTTGCAAGTAGCTTTGCAACAGGTTATCCTGCCTTCAGGAACTTTTTTCTTTTTCTTTTCTTTTTTTTGAGTTGGAGTCTCACTCCATTGCCCAGACTGGAGTGCAGTGGCCGCTCCCGGCCACTGCAGCCTCAACCTGCTGGGCTCTGGCGATCCTTCCGCCTCAGCCTTCCAAGTAGTTGGAACTACAGGCGCGCACTACCACACCCAGCTAATTTTTGATTTATTGTAAAGGTGAGGTCTTGCCAAGTTGTCCAGGCGGGTCTCGAACCTGCAGGCTCAGGCAATCCACTCACCTCAGCCTCCCAAAGTGTGGGATTACAAGCTGAGCCACCGAGCCCGGCTAGGAACTTTTTTCTCTACTATATTCCCCCTGCAGTCTAATCTCTATAATACTATGGCATATACTATTATTATCGTCTGAATTTTAGAATCTAAACCATGCTTCTAATTTTTAGGCTCATATGACTAGGTCTAAACTACTGAGCTTGGCATTCAAGACCTTTAAAATCCAATCCCAAAGTGCCTCTACCTAGTCATATCTCCTACCACTGCCATTATACATGTCTCTTTCTTCCCACCCACTCCCCCACCACCTCCAACATTCA